GGTAATCTAAATTCCTAATGAGTATAACATCATCAAATTCTAAATTCAACATATTCCTCACGTGCACTTTGTCGTGGTGTGCACTCAAAATAAATAAATACAATACAACAGTTATACGTAGTATAACGAAGTAAGGTTCGTATCCACTAGGAAAGGAATATCTTTCTTTTAATTAAATAATACAAAGGTGGGATTTTGAGTTTGATTTGATTTAATGTAATTAACACTAAGATGAATGACTTATATGAGTTTAATTAATAGAGATGATGACTTGGTTTTGCTTTTATCCACTTAATGAAATGTTTATCGATCCCAGTTATATCTTTAACTATCTTCCTCTCGAATACTCAATCGAGGAGTATCTCCATTTCATCAAGGGTAGTTATTAATAACGAGACGCGTTCATCAATAAAACTTTCTACCGAGTCAATATAGAACACGCACCGTATATTAACCCGATAGTAGCAATAAACTTAAGATGAAAACGATTGAGATTGATAACCTCAACACAAGCGGTTTATTGGTTTAATCAATATAATTAATTCCTCCTAGATTATTAACCATGAGACGCATACATTAATAATCCAAGTTTACTACCGTTGAAAGAACCCAATTAACAACAAGCGTATTAACCGATTGATTCTAGTAATAATTAATATATGAAACAAAACTAGTTGATCCTTTAAGTAATGTTCAAAATATTAATATGAAATATGAATAGGAATTAATTAATATTCAAGGAAGAAGATTAAAGAAAGTAAATGCTACTATAATTAATGTCGAGATGTTAACTAATTGTCATCTTAGCAACACTCCCCAACATTTATATAGAGCTAGATTAAATTAATATTCAAGGAAAAAGATTAAATAAAATAACTCACAACTTACAATTCATTAAGCTTCAAAGTAGCAAAACAAGGATGGAAGAGTTTAGCTCCTCATTTGGAGACTAAACATGATGAAAATATAAAGAAAGAACTTATCTAGACTGAGCTTAGAAGTATATATGAATTGGTGATTTTATTGTGAAGGAAATGTGTGTATTTATAGGCTTTTGGGCTGGAGGTTCGTGTACCCGATCGGGTATATATAAGGTACCCGATCGGGTATCTTCAGAATTGTGTACCACATGTATACCTGATCAACTTTGGAATAAAACTTATAGGCATACCCGATCGGGTGTGTCGGTGTACCCGATCAGGTACGACAATACATCATGGCCAAATCTTTCCCTGCACGTTTCTTTGTTTCCTGGATTGATTCGATTGAAAAGCAGGTTGGTACCCGATCGGGTATAGGGTACACCCAACCGGGTACAAGTCAAAATCAGAATCTTTTCTTCTTGTCTTGTATTCTTGCATCTTCCTTATTCTTTTGGAGTTCACCAATGATCATTTGATTGATCCTGGATCTGTTTTAGCTCAGAATACACCTAATCTAAACAAATTACAAATATTTTACAATCATCACTATTACACCAAAAATGTGTAATTTTCAAAGTATCAAGCAACAAACATAACTAAAAACACTAACACACATGGAAATTACATGAGTATCAATTCCTTACACAAAGAAGTGCATAATGTGTTCACTTTTTAGGCAAATAAATTGATTGTATACAACTGTATGAGTTTTGGATTTGCAATTTTGTTTACATGTTTATGCCTTCAGAATCGTTAGTTTAAATAAAGCGGTTCATTGCTAAAGGAAGCACAATGTGGTTATGCTATTTAGGTTATGTTTGGCACAACGACCTAAAGCTGGAGACTGATGTCTGAATTAAAGACTATTATCTGAAACTGAATTATGAAGTGCTGAATTTGAACTGCTAACTGAATAACATATACCCGTTTGGCGAAAAGAGCTGATATGGTGACTGAAAAATATAAAATTACATTAAAGGACGTAAAATGTATTATTCCAAAAATTATTATAATATACGAAGTATTTTTTATATGAACCTGCACTTAAAGTGGTATATAGCATCTGAAATGCAAAACGCGAAATGAAGAAAAAATTATTATACGGAGTATATAAATATATCCCTACAAGGCTACAAGTTAATCTTCTCCCTTTTAAGCATTATTATATTTTCTCATAAAATCTAGAGACAAGATTGGGAAAATTGACGTAATAGAGAAGAGGGAATTAGGGTAGTGAGGAAAATTAACAAGATAAGAAATCTGAAGTGGAGGTGAATCAATCTGGTAATACATGTAGTAAGGATACCGGAGGAGAAACACAAACAATTTAGGAACCAGAGAATTATTGTCAGCCGACTGGAAAGAAACGTTAGCTTGGCTAATGTTTTAGTTCAACCTCTTTTTTCAACTTCAGCTCCATGTAGTCTTGTGTCCAAACAGATCTACTTTTTAAATTAATGACTGAATATAAAGAAATTCAGCTCATTATGGGCTGAAGTGTCATGCCAAACATAGCCTTAGCCAGTGTTAATTCCGATTCTTATTCTTATTCTGTTTCTTTTTTAAAAGCAGAAGTAGAATCAGAATAAGATTTAAAAAAACCGGTCTCCTTCAACTTTAAAAAACTGATTTTGTGAGCAATTTTGAGCCTTCATAAGTACATCTACAATCTGAAAAGCAGATTTAGGGTGTGTTTGGCATAACTAGCTGAAAAGATACTTTTGTGAGCTTTTTAGTAATTGTTAGCTTTTAGTGACTCAAAAGATCTTAAAGAGAAAAGGTGGCAGCTGTTTGGTAAAAAGCTGACTGTTTGATTTAGTTCGGTTTGATATACAAGCTGTTAGGACTAATTAATACTAAAAGTCATGGGCTTTTTTCGGATGTTACTCCATGTAGCATCTCAAAAAAGATTTTTTAATTTTTGAAAAGCTCTTAAAAATTGTCATGCCAAACATATAACTAGAAGCTTTTATAGACTTTTTGAACAGTACAAAGCTAGAAGGTAGAGACTTATGCCTGCCAAACATAACCATAGTCCTAACACCCCGCATAATTGAAACCAACACATAATATTAGTATTTGAAGGGTAACTACGGGAAATGTTTGAGTCCGATTTTTTTTCACCCTCATTGAAGAGGGCGATGGTCACTCCCTCACTTCCATACTCGTCATGTACAATTCAATATCTTTATTTTTTCAAATTGTTATAATTTTTTTTCTTGTGGTCCAATGTAATTTTTATAAAATATATCAAATTAAATACAACATATTTTTCATGATCTTTTCAACACTACTTGTATTGCATATAGAAAATGAGGTTTTTCCTTAAATATTACTAATAAAAAACTCGTGGACAGAAATATTACTTAGTGACTATTAGTGACTATAATTGTATTCAAAGTTTATATCGTAGTAACTTACATGTTAATCACCACGATGTAAATTTGAACATAATTATAGTGACTTAATAGTTAAATTTGTCAACCACATTTTAAATGATAATATTAATGGTTTTTTTCATAAAAAAACTGGTAAAAATCCATCTTCTTTAAATATGCAATATTAGTTAAAAAAAACACTACCATGCAACATGGCACCACTATATGAGTGGGGTGAACATCACACTCTTTTGAAGGGTGAACAAAATCATTCTCCAAATCTTTGACCAAAATGTCTACTACAAAATCAATAACACATGGAGATTAACATTTTGAATCATACTTGATAGATGACGAGATCAATGCAAATCTCTTATTAGCACACAAGAATGTCCGACTGAATATGGCAGATAATATATAAACGTCTGCAAGACATTACTTCGCCACCGAAAATAATATCCTTAGACAACGCTAGAAAAAAAATATAGATTAAATTGAAAACACTAATTAAAATATTTTTTCATTATTGAATCAAAGGAGGCAGCAACTAGGGTTTCCCCATAGCCGCTCCTCTCTCCAGCGAAGGAAAATCGGCCTCTCTCATTGTTTTTCTCTTAAAATAGTTTTAAAATGTATTTTGTTTTCCCGGTTCAAACCACACTAGGGGGGGGGGGGGGGGAGACACCTCCCTAATTTATTAAAATAGAGTAAGGAGTACAAACACAGAAATTTGAGAGTACAAGAGAAATAAATCAAAAAGCAAAAAATGAAGATTACGTTAGCACTTGAATTTTTTTGAAGGAATTCCGAGTTCCGTTGAAATTGATCCGTTGAATCTATTGTGGAACTTGATGGCCTTCTGAAGATATGACTTGTAGAAAGTTCGATTATGATGAGACAATTTGTAGCGCTTCAGGGCAGCTGCGAGTTTGTGTGGTGAGTCGAACCTCACGTCGACCGGGTATAGAAAGTAGTCCGTCTCGTCTTGGAGTTTTTTGGAGTGGCTTCTCGTGATCATGGAATGCGAAGTATACCCCACTTGGAAGTATTTTTGTTCTTCCTCTTTGACTTCATTTGATGTGTTTATTGAGTTTGTGCTTCTGCTTTTTCGACTTTTTACTTGAGTAAATCCGTCGAGGAGTTCCTCTTCCGTTGGATGCTTGTCTTGGTGACCTGAAACTGAAAAGGTTAGTTTCCTGAGTGTCCATTTTAATTCAATTTAAAATCAAGTCAGATATTCCACTGTTACGGTGTGTTTAAAATTGTAACTTTTTTAAAAACTTTTATGTATAACGATTTTTTTTTAAAAAAGGATGACACCCCATCCCTGAGGGCCCCAACTCCGATCGGACGATACGTTGAGAGGATGTAAATTGGACTATAATAATCTGACAGATAGAGAGTGAGGTTTTATCCCCGATACTTTCAGAGGCTCTATGCATTTTTAACGTAGTAACCACTCATCACAGTTGTGAACGAATCTGAGATAACAACTTTTTTATAATTCATGTGATAAATGCACTAGATAAATGTCTTTATTACTCCGTATTTGATTAAAAAAAATAGTACTTTGTTACAGGTTTACTAGAGAAACTGTCCCCAAATTCTAGGCTTATAAAATGTATACGTTGCGCTGGTGGGCCCATTTATGGGCATCAAGACCCCACGTTCTATATAAGACACGAAAGGCGATGGTGCAACTTCCCCATCCCATTCGTACATTTCCGTAGCGCCTTTTTCAAAAAACTTAGAAGAGATATGAATCCGGAGATAATCATCACCGTTGAAGATGAACGCGCCACCTCCCCGTCCCGTTTGTACACCGTCGATTTCTTCGACACTCAGATCTCCGTCACCGTCACCAAAGCCCCCTCCGTCGTCCGCAAATGGATCTCCACGACCGTCTACCTCCGCAACCGCCGCGACTTGTTCGGCCGCCTCGTCGTAGGCGTCGGAGTTCAGTGGAACCCCTACAGAGGAAACGATCCTCCTGCTCACACTCTCCAACTCTGCGTCGGCTGCCGCTGCTTAATCTTCCAGCTCTCTCACGCCACCACAGTGCCGCTCATCCTCCGCCGCTTCTTAAGCGACGAAACGAACACCTTCGTCGGGATTTGGAATGGCTCGGACCAGAAGAAACTGGAGATGGAGCACGGACTGGAGATTCACCGGCTTCTGGATCTGAGGAGGTACGTGGAGACAGATGACGGAGACAGCCTCCTTACGGCGTCCGTGGAAACGATTGTGAGGGAGTGCTTGGGGTTCGAGGGGGTGTGTTTGGATCAAGCCGTCAGCATGAGCCGTTGGGATGCTCATTACCTGAGTTGGGAGCAGGTTAAGCAAGCAACTGTGAAAGCATATGTGGCCTTTGAGATTGGGAAGAACGAGGGTGCTTGGCGCTATTGATCGATCATCTGATCGGTCAATCTACTTCTGATACGATGTGACCTAGCCTATAACTTCGATCAATTCCACTCGATCTCTTAGCTTCATGATCTCTTCATATCAACTTGTTTTGGTAATATCGATCAGTCTCTGGAATCTTCTACCAGTAGTCCAGTACCAGCCTTGAACCGATAGTTTTCCTTTTAGTTTTAAACAAAAGCACTTCAGAATTCGGAAGGGAGTCAATTTTAACGGAAGTAGTTGTGTAAATTGACTGAAAATGCCTTCCGGATTTTGTTAGTTCTTTGGATTTCTGTTCTTTTTTGATAAGCCTGCTTTTGTTTAGATAAACCTGAGCTTTGGATAGTTGGTTCGCGAAACGAGGGATCGTGAAATCTTTTTTGGACAATACAAGAGATAAATGGCTACTGAGATCATCTCTGAATGAGTTTTAGATTTGACTATGGATGATCCTGTAACATGAAATTCCCAGTTATAAGAAAAAACCTATTAAGAGTTTTTGTTCTTTTGCCTAAGAAAATGTAGTAGAATTGCGCATGGAAATTATGTGTATTTAGTACATGCATGGTGGAAAAATACTCACCGCAAGGTTTGGAAAAGAGAGAGTTATTTTTAGAGTTTTATAATATGTAGTACAAAACACGACATTAATTATATTTTGAAATTCATAAGAACGTATGGGGTACCGTTCCAAAAATGTTCTATCATTTTGACTTTTCTTGGTCAATGATCACAAAATTCGGACAATAATTTTAATTATTATATGGTGACAACTCTAGTACCTTTCTAAAAAATGGGGTACCGTACCTACCATTCATTTGATTGGACCACACATCTTTATCATTTTTAATTTAGATTTAAATAATTCAACTGGTACATTCTCATTGGTCCATGTGAACAAAGGTATGGTACCTTATGGGTACCATAGAATCTACCTTATTATATTTGTATATAATTTATAAATTTTATATTTTTATCAAAATATTTTGAATAAGGAACATTTTGATATAATTTTCATTTTCATAATAATTTTGTATTAAAAAAATATCATTAGTCAAAATTGATTGTTATTGATCAAGAAAAGTTAATTTAGCTAATCTTTTCGGGATAGATGAAGTATTTTCTTTACTTTAATTTAGTCAGTACTCTTGGATATTAATTGCACCGGAGTATATATGGATATGTAACCTCATTGTCGGGCTATTTGGTTTGCATACATTCAAATAAAATAATGTGAAATTTTAAAATAAGAATAACATATTTCCCTCACAAGAGTAAATTAGTTTCGCATGCTATCATGAAATCATACTTTCAGGTGGCACTATCGGACGTTAACTAATACCGTACCTATGATGACCCGTTTATCGATACTAAAATTGTGGCCGAATTTGTTTATTCTGTTGAAATTTATGAAGTTATGATTGAAGTGGTTGTATTGGTTGATTATGCTTATTCATGAAAAAATTATATTCAAAATATTTGTTACTAATCAATTAAATAAAAAATTATATGAAAAAATAGTTAAGATGATTCTTTAACAGTAACTTAAGCCAATACAGTCAGAAAAGTAATTACAATCTTACATTTTCTTCTTATTACAAATTTCAGCGTGCGAAATAAAAAATTACATGTTTGGTGAAAAAGTTGGCTGATAAGCCAAAAAAAGGGGTTACAAACGGGCTGGATATAGTATCATGAAATAATGACACCAATATTACTTCCCAACTTGTGTTAGACAAAATAATGACGAGTTTTAAAAATTCCACAAAACTCACACCAAGAGCAATTCATCAACGTCTCTTTCTCTTCTGCGCATCTTCCCAGCGAACACCCTCGCGCATTTCTTCCCTTCTTCGCAGAGCATCCTTCCTTCATCTACCAACCCGCCGACCTCGCCTCAGCCTCGCCTCCGCCGCACCTCACTGCGCCTGGGACTCGTCGCATAGGCTGCCTCACTTGGGACTCGCCGCACAGGCTGCCTCACTGCACGGGTTGCCTCGCCAAATCAGTCGTTCCTCCTCCAATCCGGCGCTCCTCTTCGCACAGCCATGGCTCCAGTCAGCGACGACTACCAAGCCACCACACTTGATTTTCCTTTTTCTTCTTTCTTTTAGAATTTCAAATCAATTTTGAGGATTTTCCTTCTTATTTTCAGATCTGAGTTTCAAATCGAATTTGTTGGGGCGAGGGTGGAAGGTGGTGTGCGGCGTGTTTGGGTGGGAATGGGGTGCGTCTTTGGCTCCAATTTGGAATCGCCGCTGCAGGTGGAGTCTGATTTGGGGCCGGCCACTGCTGTTGGGGTCCGGTTTGGGGCCGCCGCCGTTGCCGGTGGTGTTATGGCTGAGGTTTTGTCCCAACTGGCCGGAGAAGGACATGGGGAGAGGACAGGGGCGGGGAAAGGGAGGGGGCTGGGGACAGGGGAGTATGGTTGGGGCCTGGATGTTGGGGCTTAGGGTGGCGTGACTGGATGTTATGGGTGAAGGTGGGTGGCTGGTGGTGGTGATTGGCGGTGACGATCGGGAATGGCTGGGAGGGGAAGGGTAGATGGTCGTCGGGGATGGGGCTGCGGCAGGGCTGAGGAGGGGCTAAGGAGGGTGCATGTGCGGGACGGTGCTGGCGACAGTGGGTGGTGGGCTTGATGGTGTCACTATGATTGTAGTCGGCATGTCACTGTGGTGGTGTTACCGGAGACGGCGTCACTGTGGCGGTGGCGGTGTAATTGGTGTGGAAGTTTTGACTTTGATAACTCTCGGTGACAAGAAAAAGGAACATAGTGACATAATTTTTTCCCGATGACATCATGTTTTTCTAATTCCAAATATGTGACCTTGTTAATCACTTTTTTGTCAATTTTTAAAAGTACTCACATTTTTGAAAATTCAGTCCAATTTAGTAATATTAAAGGAATAACCCCAAAAAAGGGAAAAATACTATACTAATACTAAAAGAGGAAGAAATTTCCATAATATACCTAAAGATGAGGTTTGGCATGAATATAACTTGTAAACACACTAGATGAGTAGGATTCACGTATTAATCCCTACATTTTAGGCTTGGAAATTAATAAATGCGCTTAACCGTGAGTAGCATGGCAAAAAATTAAGCAACAATAGGGGAACAAAATTAATACATCATACATTGGGATATATATGATCTTCTAGTCATATAAACAATAATTTTCTCAATAAAAAATTCTATGTACATTGCTTCTCCCGCTCGGCTTTCTCATCTCATGAGAAAATTTATGGCTTCCTCTGGTGTGCCGTCATCGTTTGTCTCTGCCAACTTCGCCTCACCGCAATCAGGCCACATCACCGCCACCGCCCTCCTGCACCCTTGATGACATGTATTTCATCCTCCATTGAGGTCGCTGCCTCCTTCAACACCTAGCATCTCCGCAGATCTCCTTCTTATATGAGGCCTTCACCAATGCAATGTCACCTTCGACCACCACAACTTTCAGTGTGATAAAACACCGTCACAAAACATGAATCCATTTAAAATAAAAAAGCGTGGTTGAAATTGTCATCTGGGACTTAATAATGATATATTGATACCATATTGCCATTCTTAATAACAGTAATACACATTGCCATATGAGGAAGCGGTCCAGCTTAGTTGGTCGCTGACTCACTCTTCCTTATGAGAAGTCTCAGGTTCAATACTCAATGAAATGAGTTTGATCTCAGTTTATCTCAAGCCCCCAAACCTCTTCCCCTACCCCTGAGGGGTGAAACAAGAAGAACAAAGCTATTAGCATGAAATGACATAAGGGTAATTGCTAGGGGAAATAAAAATAGCAACCGTGTCACTTTCAAATTCAAACTTAGGGGCTGTTTACTTTTTTCTTCATTAAGTCCTAAATGGATTAAGGCGTCTGTCTGGATTAAGACGTCTGTCTGGATTAAGTGACTCGAAGATAACAAGCTGTTTACTATAGATGCTGAATGAGATGTCTGAATTATGTTTAATGACCAAATAATCCTTCTGTCCAAAACAAGTCCTGAATGTACATTTCCTGTTTTTTTGTTTTTGTTTTTTCGGAATCGCCACCATGTTCCATACCTAAAGAATGAAATGAGTATGCCCAAAAAATATCAAAAAAAGTGAAAGCAAATAAAATCTAGGGTATAAATAAAGTGGACAAAAAAGTGTCCAGGGTCTAACAGAACAGGAAAAATAAGACATTTATAATCCTGTCCTGATTCTGAGGTTGGTTGTGTTGTTACTCCAATCTAGAACTGAAAAACAGCCCAATCAAAGGGTAAAGAACCGATCAGGTCCGGTTGAAGGACCAAGCCTGTCGAAGACTAAAAGCTCCATGACTGGTATGGGCTTTTCAAAATCAAAACTTGCTAAATAACTACATACTCCATATATCACATGAATTTTTGCAAAACACTGGTTTAGTAATCCAAGAAGATCACGTGATTTCCAATTCATATACCAAACAACCTGTTGGCTGTGTTTCGGAAAATAAAGAAAATTAATTAAAATAAATTAATTAAATAAAATGACTAGAGAAAAACAAGAAAGGAGATGAAGCAGAATTAGTCAAAGCTCGTGCTACGCACGATGTCTTTAAAATGTATTTGTTGCCTCCCACAGTGCTAGGAGCGTTGCAACAATCGTTTCCCAGAATACGATGACTACGAACTAGTGTTTGAGCACACAAACAAGAGTTCCAGCGAATGAGAACCAAGTAAGAACACAGAAGGAATTTTTAGAGTAGCTGTAGGTGTTTTTAGCTCAAGAATACGTGAGGAATGTATTGTGCGTTGTGTTGTTGCAAACCACCTGCCAACTATTTATATGAGGATTTGTTGTGTGTTAAATGGGTGTTAATGGACCTGAACGTTGGACATCAATGACCAGTCCGTTGGGCATTGAATCGTCCATAAACTGTCCATTTAACGCAGCATTAAAAGAGAAGAACGTTGGGCATTAATTGTTGTAACGGACCAGAAGACCTTTTGTTGCGAACAGAAGGCCTCGAGGGTCTCTGTTGAGAACAGAAGACCTCGAGGGTCTCTGTTGCGAACAAAAGACCTCGAGCGTCTCTGTTGCGAACAGAAGACCTCGAGCGTCTCTGTTGCGAACAGAAGACCTCGAGGGTCTCTATTGCGAACAGAAGACCTCGAGGGTCTCTGTTCCGGACAGAACTCCACCCCTTCTGTCAATGGGAAAAATAAAACGTTACGGTAAGAAACAAAAATTAGACCGTATCTTTGAAAGATAGGTTTTCGGACGACATTCGTGTCCGCAGGTCGCCCGCGCACACGAGTCGCGGTTTTTCTTCTCCGTTTCGGAATTTGATCGGCATCCTCCCCCCTGCGCGTAAGAGAGAGCCTTTCCCTTTAGGAATCTTAACTCCTTAAAAGAGGCTTCCCTTTATAAGGGGGTGAAAATCCCTTGAGTTTTTCGGTGTGGGATAAAACACACTAGAAACTCACCATTTTCCTAGTTTTTCCATTTCAACGAGTGAACTTCGAGAATCAATTTCTCATTCACCCGTTATCCGTTTTGAGTGTACCACATATCGAATTGTAGCCCTTAACAAGGACAATCCGAAACCACTTGACCCGACCCAAATCGGAACTGGACCCCACTCAAATAATTTCCCCAAAATGACCATTTAATG